CCACGTTAGGCCCGCGATAAAAACTACTTCAACCCGGTTTTCTTCAAAAATCACCTCAAAAAAAAATTAAAAAAAAATCACAAGGGTAGCTCTGAGTATTGCGTAATATTTAAGTATAGTATTACGGGGTACACTCTAGAATAATTTGAGTTATGATTTTTTTTTACACCGAATTTGAGTAAAATGAGTACATTAGAATATTACAATTTTTTTAATTTTTTTGAGTATGCAGTTTTTTAGCCTGTTAAGTTTTAGTATTTAGTTTTAGTTAAAAGAGCAAATTTTAAGCTACTGCAAAAATGCGTGCGGTCTTTGGCTACCTTTTTTGTTGAATTTTAACACAAATTTTTCTCAATTTCGATTCCCCTGCCATTTTCTTCTTGAATCACTTTGTTATTGAATGAAAGGACACTCATTATGTGCTGACATTTAATGCCGAGCTATGTAATAAGATACAAAAAAATATACATTAAACCACCTTTAAAATAAAAAAGAAAGGTCGACACGTAAAGACTTTAAAGGAATATCCCACTTATGTACATATATATATGCATACATACATATCTATGTATGCTTGTTAAAAAAAAGACGCATAAATATTTATAAAATATAAATAAGTGACAGACAATGTATGCTAAAATTCAATGACACAAGAGAACCTTACTAAAGTTTAAAAACGTGCTATTTGGAATAATATTTTATCATTATCTCTTTGCTATATACAAACATACCTACATTTATATTTTACGCGCAAATCAGCAAGTAGCAAAAAATTGGTTTTTAATTCGGCTAAATATTGCTAAAATGTTTCACATTTGTTTTAATTTTTTTTTCGTTACTAGTAGCAAAGATAAAATTAGTCTTTCTGCAAGTATGGAAATCTGCTAACGAGGAGGTCTAAGTGTTATTCTATTTGTTGTTTAGCAATAAGTTTTTTAAAAATTAAACGAATTCAAAAATAATAATAATAGAAAATTAAATAAAAAAGAATAACATAACAAAATAAGTTTCTAAAAATTAAATGAAATTAAAAAAAAAGATATGTTTCTTTTTAAATAATATAATATAAACAATTAAAAGAAAATAAATTAAAAATTAATACCTGAGATAAATTCCTAAAATTTAACTTAATAAACTTTTTAAAACAATAAAATTTGAAAAGTAAATTTAAAAAATTTTATTAAGAAGATAAGCAAAAATATATGTAGATAAGTTTCTAAAAATTAAGTGGAATATTTTTTATTTTTGAAACAGTATATTAAAATAAAATTAAAAAAAGAAAAATAAATATAAAATAAAATAAGTTTATAAAGATAAAATTAAATTAAAAATATATGTATGTATATATATTTTGCTTTTTAAAACAATTAAATTTAAAGAAATTTAAAATAAAAATTAATTAAAAAAAGAAAAAATATAATTTAAATTGAAAAAAAAAAAAG